AGGGGTAGGGGAAAGGAAAGGAAGGAATAGAATTAATATGAGAAAATGTAAAAATGGAAACAAAGTCTTTGTAAATAGGGAAGGGTGGAGGGGTTAAAGGGAGGGCAGGGGAAGGGGGAAAAATAAGAGCCAAGAGAGACTATGTAAAGGTGCAAATTTCCAATGATGAATGACGTTATATTGTGTACCTAAAATGTACCAATAAAATTAATAAATAAAATAAAGGATACACATAGCCAGAAACCTAGCTATCCCACTGACCTAGCTGTATACACTACGGAAGCTCTTGCTCATGAGCATCAGCATACAGATACAGAGTTTTCATAAGGCATTGCCCACTAGCACAGAACTCAAAGTACTTGCTTTCAGTTTTCCTTTCTTCTGGCCTAGAGAATGGATATATTATGGTTGCTTCCACTGTGTCCCCCAAAAGACTTGTGTTGAAGGTGTGGTTGGTGGTGGCTTTTAGAAATGATTGGATCATAAGGGCTCTGATGACATCATTGGATTAACCCACTGAGCAGACCATAATTCAGTGTGACTACTGAGGGATGATGGAAAGAGGAAGTAGGGTCTGGTCAAAGGGAGTGGATCTTGGGAGCGAGGCCTTGAGGAATACATGTGTTCCCTGGCCCCTTACTCTCTCTCGCTCTCTCTCTCTCTCTCACCTGACCCGCCTGAGCCTTTTCATCCGCAGAACCATCATTTGCGTGCACAGATGAAGACAGGAGGATTTAAAACCCTGCAACCAGCCCTAAATCAAAAAAGCTGACTTCTCCCAGGAGTTTAAAGCCCTGTCTCACACATTAAATTGTAATTTGCAGGCAAGTCTGGGCTCAGAAATCCTCCAATAAAGCAGATGAATAATCAACATGAATTGGATAGAAAGAGTCTCTCTCTGCCTTTCACTTGCCCTTATCACTTTGCACACAAACAGCACCCTGGATGATGTCTACAAGATGATAAGACCACAAAAGGATTCAACTGGATCAGAAAATTTCATTATTCAGAAACAAGATGGTCCAAATTGGGTAGTTTGAGTAAGAAGGCAAACAGCTGACTGCATAAAGGACCTGTGAGGTCACCAGTTCTGGATTTTACCAGGCAACAGTAATGGAGTGACCTAGAGGATCTTCTCTCTAATGTTAGCTCTCTGTGGAGACAGTCACTCAACCAAATCCCCAACCGGATTAAAGGTTGGTGTAGACCATGGATTTCTCTTGCAGGTAGGATTCCCAGTCAGTTGTCAATAGCAGGGGTTGGTTTCCCTCCCACACTTACCTTATGCTTGTGGCACTGGGTGCCTTGCCCCAACCAGGGAGCTGGGATTGAAGTTTAAACCTACTCCATACCCTTCTTTATGTTTCCTTTCTGATTCTCAATGCTGTCCAAGTTTCCAGTCACTATGTCATTGGTTCTCAGAGTTCTTCCTCACTTTTTCTCCACAGGATACAATTTCTCTTTTATAGCTCTAGTTTCTCTTGTTTGCAGTCAGACAAAGGCTATTTTGATTCCACCATCTTAGATCTCCTCCCAGAGCAGCAATCTCTTAAAAGAGTCCTGAAGAAACTGGGATTTATGATCTTGCAAGTCACAGGTGAGAATGGCAAAAAGACTCCTTGGAGATCACCTGGTTACACACATCCTAACCCATGGATTCCCTACCTCTAACTACACACACACACACACACACACACACACACACACACACACACACGGACTTTCTAGCCAGATAAAATTTGAACATGTTGCCTCAAGAGAAGGAGTTATTAAGTTATAGACTAGAACAATATTTTGAGTAACAAAGTTCCACAGTGAGATCTGACGTCAGTAAGAACAAATATAGAAAATATATCACGATGTCACTCTGTCCATGGCCCCATCCAAAAGTGTGAACATCATGGTTTTGTCTCATAACTGCCCCCTTGGACAAGGTAAACATTTACTAGATGGGCTGTTTGTTACATATTTTTAATTTATGTACTTCCCAACTTGAAAAAAAAAGGCAGCTGGAAAAATCAAATTCTCCTTTTAAAGTATTTGAACTAAGAAACCCGGAAATAATTTTGTGGTTTCAGTGAAACTTAGAAGTAATAGGTTATGAGCCATGGTCACATTTAAGTCACAGAAATGAGGAAGCAGAGAAGATAAAAATGATGGGAAAGTCCCTTGACAGAAGAATAGAAAATAGCAAACAGTGGGAGTCCAAAATAACAGCCCTGCTCTGAAGGACCATAAATTCTTGCTCATAGGCAAGAATTTGAATTCTTCTTGAATTCCTCATCTAGAACTTCCTTCTTCTTAAGTTTCCATTAGACTGAGGTCTATGACTGCCAGTCAAAGAAAGATGGAAGCAGTGGGAGGGGCCAGAGTAGTCTATGCCCAAGATTATTTAATGCGTCATTAATTATTAGAAACTTGATGGATCTGGTATTCTTTCTATGTCTAAAACACCAGAATTTTGGTTTTGCCTTATGACCCATGGAATTCCCAAGATCAAAACTGATAGGTAACCCCCAAAGGTTCTATGGAAGTTCTGCGGCTAGTAGGAGCCCCACATTTCACAAACAGTCCCTATCTTTATTCCTACCAGACTTGGTCTTGGAATCCCTGATGGAGAAGCTTCCAACTCTTCCACAGAGTCATCACCCTGGAGAACGGAGCCCAGAGCAGCTGGCAGCTGACAAAGGAACTCACTCCATGGCCAAAAATGGAGAACCAGCCAGTTTTTGACAGAACACTGGTTGTACCAATACTATGAGCCTCTTCTCCATGAACTACTTCTAGAGCATAGAGGCTAGACATTAAGTAAAGTCTTCTGATCAGTAAGAATCACTGTAGAATAGTGAAACAAGCAAGGCCTTTACATGACACTGTGGTTTGAATCCTACCTTCTCCATTAGCAATTTATTTTTTGACATGATAGGCCTTTCGACTTTATGAATAACACATTCTGGGGTTGAAACTTAGAGGTTATTCCAAGGATTATTGGGAGAAATAACTAAGTTAATGTGGAAATATCCAAAACTGAATGGGAACTCCAGAAATCCAGTCATCTCCACAGACTCACTTCCTCTGATAGGCCCTCAAGTAATGAAATTCAAGACAGATAATGACCTATTTTGTAAGAGAGCAAATTAAATTATGAAAGGATTCACGACGTGTTGTTGAAGTAACTGAGAATGTCTGAGCAGGAGAGAAGAAGATGAGTTAAAAGTAGCCATTACTACTACCCATCCTGGAAGAAAGTTTTCCCCCAAATGCAGGACTAAGCATAATACCAGTGTGTCGAAGGCACAGAGAAGAGAGAGCAATTCAGCATTCTCAACAGGCAGAATTTCCCAAAGGTACTGTGATCAGAAAGTTCCCCTCTTACAAAGGATTAACACAAGGCCCTACAACCTAGAACTCTGGACACCTCACCCACACCACACCCTGTGTACATGAGGCTGCCTGGAATTACACAGGCATCAGAAGAAGCCATATTAGGCAGCTCTGGTACACACCCGAGCTAGGCAGCGATTTGTTGAAAATATTCTAGAAGAGAGAGACTGTGTATTGGTCCCTTCCAGTGTTGTCTAAACTTCTTTGGTCTTCAAGAAAGTCCCAGGTAACAAGAAAATTAATTGGAAGTAATACTGCCCCACGGTCCATTTTGGGAAGGAGTACAGAGATGGGTAAAATTTCTCCACAGTACTGCCAGTTGTGGATCCTTGAATAGTAAACATTTTCTTCTCTCTTTCTGAGCAGAGAACAGCTGAGACATTGAAAAGCACTTGACGCTGACATCGGACACTGAAAAGCAAAACCCCTCGATTTGGGAGTCTCTAATTCCATTCTTCTCTTCAAGCCAAGCAGCTACACTGAGCTTGATCCATGAGAAATCTCACCACTGTGGCTGAGCACATGCTTCAGAGAGCACCTGAGCTGACATCACTCCCCTGCCCTTTCTCAGATTCTATTTTCTTACTCGTCTAGGGACTGTGGGCCTGATTGTTCTAATCCAAATGGATGTCCAACACTAAACACATTCTCTTCCCTTCTCTCTCTTTAACCCAACCCTCAATTTCTCTGGGTTCCATGGCCACTAACTAACCTCACAGAACTAAAGAGAAATGGCGCAGTCATAAGTGAGCAGTCACCTTCTCCCTCCTCCCAGTCCTCTGGGAGTCTCTGAAGTCTCTGTCCCCACTGACACTTTCACTCTGTATGTAAAATTATACTTAAGAATCTTATTAATGAGAGCATAAGTATTTTTTCTTTTATGCTTTGGGTAACCTACCAACTCACTATGAGGGATTTAATGAAAAGAAGATTACATCAAGCTAAGAAAGTTCAATACCACTGAAGAAATAATCATCAGAATGAAAAGGCAACCCATGAATGGGAGGAAATATCTTCAAACCATATATTTCATAAGGGATTAACTTCCATGATATACAAGAAACTCCTATAAGACATTGTAAAAGAAAAATTTTAGGGCCAAGGATGTAGCTCAGTGGCACAGTGCCTGCCTGGCAAGTACAAGGTCCTGAGTTTGATCTCTGGTACCGGGAAAAAGGAATACGAGGGGAAAAAGGAGGGTCACTAAAGATAGAGGAGAAAATAGAATATTTGCTGAGCAAGACTGACTCTGCCCCAGGGATTATCTGTGGACATTCCACAAAATCCTGAATAATCAGATTGCTTCTTATAGTTTGTTTCATTTCCCACAGAGCACTCCTCTAGTATTTGGGGAAACAGTTTACTCTTACATGGGCTACCACAGGAGCAGTTGTTTGTATAAAAGTCTTCCTCCCACCTGTCCAGACTTCCCTAGGACACATACGAGCTTCTAAACTCAACTCTAGTTAATCAGAATCCATCTCTGAGAATCTTAGGGGAAATGAAAAGTAGCCTAAAATACTGTACTAACTAATGCCAAAAAATATAAAATAATATCTACTGAATAAAACCACAAGCTGTAAATCTTGTTTGTCGTGGGCCATGACCCCCAGCCATGTGGATTAGAGGAGACACCAGAGAGAAGAAATATGCCCTTGTGTAGAGAGGAAGAAAAACAAGAGGTGGAGAGAAAAGGCAACTCCTAGTTGGATCATATTTTTTTTTAAGCACAACATACTCAGAATAGAAGATTTGATTTATCTCCTCAAAACTGCTTCTCCCCAAGTCTTCCCCAGGGCCAGCTGGGAGATTCAAAAATAAATACATTTTGCCTATACAAAATCAACTTTTGTGTAGGCAAAACATGATTATTTTTTCATTACTCTTGTTTTTTCACAACCCACACCCAACCTATCAGCAGATTATATCAGTTCTAACCTAAGTCTATACCCCATCTGATAAATACATGCTAGGGACAGTGACTGTTGTGTCAGGACTTTGGCAATGCACATATGTAACTTCCTGTTTGGTGCTATTGGTGCTGTTGCTAGGGCAACAGTTTTGTAGTCTTATAGTCTTTCAGTGTGTAGCCATCTCTTTTTATTCTGGGGGTCAAATACAGGGCCTTGCACACTACTAAGCAAGTGCTCTACTAATGAGCCCCGCATCTTCTTCCTGTCTTGAACTCACACTGCTTCTCCAGCCCTCCTGCTAACTTCATGGGCTACCCATTGTCATGGCAGTAAACCCCTTTCCCCATTAGTGTAACAGTCTTTGCCTGTTGCTTGCAAGCGATAGATATCAAAGCCTGGTTGATACAGAAACCAGTAGCAGGATTGTTATGGGCAGGAAACTATCAGAGGAATCAAGGTATGTTAGTCTGGGCTCTCCATAAAAACAGAATCAAGAGATGTATTACAAGGAATTGATGCTCACAGCAATAGAGGCTGAGAAGTCTCAAGCTCTGTAGTCAACAACCTGGAGACCTAGAAGAGCTCATGTCTGGTTCCAGTGAGAACCCAAAGGCCTGAGAACCAGGAGAGATGATGGTCTAAGTTTCAGTCTGACTCTGAATCCAAAGGCAGGAGAAGACCAGAGTTCCAGGTCAAAGACAGTCAGGCCATAAGGGCAAATTCTCCCTCGCTCAAACTTATGTCCTATTCAGGCCTTCAGTGGATTGGACAAGGCCCACCCACACGAGGAAGGGCAATCTGCTTTTCAGACTGCTAATTCAAATGTTAATCTTACCAGGAAACACCCCCAGAGATATAGCCAAAATAATTATCCAAATATCCAAAAAGGTGATGGCCCAATCAAGATGACAGAAAAAAGCAACCATCATGCAAGATTCAGCTATCTTGTCTGAGTCAGACTGGAACAGTAAGAATATATCATATTAATTTATAGAGTACATAGCCATAAATACATGCAATCACTACAGGTCAATTAAAAATAAAAATAGATATCTTTGAAAATATATACCATGCAGGCTAATCCTCGCTCATCCCATAGTTCACAGTAGGGAAGCAACTAACATGAGCAGTGGACTCTTGAAATGCAGAGTCCAGTAAAGCCAACTCTGAGGTCTCTGTCTCAAAATGAGTATCGAGTAAGGTGTGAGGAATCCCAGACAGGTGCTTGTGATTTCATCCGAAGGCACTGACTGGTTAAAATACACTGGATGGCAGATTTCCTGTATTCTTTGATCAAAACACAGAATAAAACTCTAGTGCTACTAGTTGTTGTGATTTAAAGAACAGCTGAGATGATGGAAGAAGCCCAACATTTGAACTATGGACACCACATCGTACTCTTAGCTGAACGACTGCCCCTTGGCCAAAACTGAGTTTCTTACCTATCTAGGGTTGGTGTTACAGCCCTCACTCAGAATGAGCCCCAGAGATGCCGTGGCGCCCAGTACTGGGGTACACCCACTGTACCCCACCTAACTGCTATCCTCTTTGGGCTCCCCATCTTCAGACCTGCAGAGTGTCTCAGGCAAATCACTGGGAGAAAATAAACTGGTGTCCATGCTCTGCACCATATTCATCCTATGCCAAAACTTTTCAACTCCTGAAACATATATAGTGTATGCCAGTTGCCTTCACAAAGGCCAGAGGTGAACTATAGCTGAGCAGCCATAACTCTGGAGGCAGGCTTCTCAACCTGTCTTCTCTTCAGATCCTCAAACTATTGAAGGGTAAGCAGTATGCTGCTTCTCTGGGGAACACTGGAAGCCAGAAACTTCACCAAATGGCCAGTCACGCCAGATCAGTCCTTTCCATCTGTGACCTTGCTCTCCCTCCAAATGACTCATCTCTGTTTTCCCCACCTATTTCCTATCCACAGCCTTCCAGACCCTCCCTGGCACCTTTTTCCGAGTCATAGAATCTCAGCCCTGGAGATGACCATTAAAGCCACCCCACCGCTAACCACCGTGTCCTCCTGTCCTTAGCTAACACCTCCAGAACTATCGTTTGTTCCTTCTCTCCACTTCTCTTGTCAAACTGTCATTCCTTTCACCAGGAAATTTTCCCAAGAGCTAAGAGAGGAAGATTCCAACTGATGTATTGGCATAATTCAAAATTTAACTTGTGTTGGGATTCATATATATAATTTATTCAATCATGAAAAAATATATTTCAGTAAATTAAAATTATAGAATTTCTTTATTGTTTAACTGATTAAAAGACAGCCCTGAAGTAACACATCAGGTGAGTATGTCCAAGTTCCATCTTTGTCTGACCTCAGGGAGAGAAGTTAAGGCCTGACCTTCTCAGGGGAGCCCATAAAGGAGGGCAGAAGTGCCACATTCTCCTGCCAGCCTGGAAGAATGAGGCTACTTGAGAGAAGTGGACCACGTAGACAGGCCTGAAGGTGGCCTTGAGACCAACCCCTGAGTGATGGAAACCAGGGACCATCCAACTGCCAGGAAATGAATTCCACCTACAGCCTGAAAGAGATTAGAAGAAGACCACAAACCTTAATTGCAGCTGAAAACCTTCCCACCATTTGATTTTGGCCATGAGGGAGCTGTGAGTAGATAACAAACATTCTGACTTCTGACTCACGGGACTTACGAGATTTGTGCAGTTTTAAGCTGCTAAATGTGTGGTAAGTTGTTACTCAGCAACAGAAGACTAATACATGTGACTGTTCCCTGTATTACTTGTAAACTAACAGTTCATTATAAAACAGAGGCCACTAAGCTTTTTCTGTAATGGGTCAGTAAATATTGTTAGCTTTACAGTCCAAACTGTCTCTATCACAACACTCAAGTCTGACACGGTAGTGAGAAGGCAGCCATAGGCAATAGGCAAACAAATGAGGATGCCTGTGTGACAATAAAACTTTATTTACGAAAACAGGCAGCAAGCCAGATCTGGACTTTAAGGGATACTGAACATCAGAGTTCATGCATGTACAGTGCATGGAACACAAGTTGGAACATACTTAGGGATAATGCTCTTCATTATTACTACTGAGATTCCTATTATTAGTATTATTAGTATTATTAGGAAAGAACAGGTCACACAGATGTTAGCTCATATCATTGGATGAAAATGCCTGCATCCAAGAACACCACATATCTGAGTAATTTAAGGCCTTATGAAATGGATGCAGCCCCTGGAGAAGAGCTCCTCTTCCCCTGGATGACTCTGGGGAGAAAGTACCTTGGGTCCCTGAAAATGAAGTGTTTGTCCTTCCTGTTTCCATCAGAAACTCCAGACTGGAACTAAGGAGGCTGCAGTTTCTGTCTTACAAGTTCAATTCACATCTAGTTCTGCATAAGCCTTGAGACCAGGATCATCAGTGGGCTGGCTGGACACAGCCTTGCTCACTGTGTCAGGTGAGTCCTTCTGTCAGAAAGGAGCCCAGAGGGCCAACAAGTAGCCAATGTAACCAATGTAACAAAGTAACCAACATAACAAAGTAACCAATGTGAACTGCCTAGAATCAGAGTAGCTCCTTCTTGTCCCTTAGCCTCTCAACCAACCAGAACCTAACATCTGAGGGCCACACCTTGATAACAAGGATGGTAGTCATGGCCCTGGACCTCTGTAGCACAGGTGATGGTTCATGCTCTACACTCTCCATGGTGAATGATTCCAGAGCTGCACAACCCCAGAACACTCTCCAATTAGCTCAATAAGCCTGGTATTCCAACATTAGTGCCTCTTCCATTTGTTAGAAGCAGGGTGGTCCTGGTGGAGCCTGGGGGAAGCTGACCTCCTGGGACAGTGGGCCTGATTTGCAGGCTCTGAGTGTGTGAGATTCAGACACCTAAATCCACAGAGAAGTCCGACCCACTGT